TTCAATTTTAAAACCAATTTTAAATCTTAAAATACAATATCTAATACGTATACAATAACTAATTTGCATTAGATTACCCGTTGTCGCAGTACTAGTACCTGCCCCTGCATTGCCAAAAGGTGAAGGTTGTGCTGGTGTACCAAAAATTCCTGTACCAGGTCCTAATCATCAAATGAAAGTAAGATAAATAATTTTACAATATAAAATACGAATCTTTATTGTGAGAAATTCTGATATATAAGATTACCTTTTCGTCCCACAGAATAATCCTCAAAACGTAACTCTTCGTAAGATTTTGATTCATATTCTTTCATTGATGCGATACACCAATGCCTCGCCGATATAGTATGAGATATACCATTCTTGGACATAGAATCGGTAGTAATCACAGGAGTAAATTTAACAACGGTACCGGTCATACTTGTGGTTGTAGTATTTGTATTACCAAAACCTAAAATAAAGAAAGCAGAAATAATAAAAGAATAGATTCTTCTTATCTTTCTATGAATAATATGATTAAATATTATAGACATACCAGGTGTTGTACCAAATAAATTAGTATTTCCAGTAGTACTGCTTTGTCCAAAAGGAGTAGTTTGTTGAGTTGACTGTTGAGGTTGTCCAAATAAATTTGTTCCAGATGTAGCGCCGAAACCAAATCCAGCCGGTTTGTTTGATTGGCCAAATGCTGAAGTTGCCGTACTTGTACCAAAAAGATTTGTACTTGCATTTTGCTGAGTACCGAATAAATTGGTATTGGTATTTGTTGTGCCAAACCCTATAAAAAGACGAAAAAAAACAATTATATTTTTATTATTCAACTTATAAGAAATTAATATTAGGAATATAAAAACGAACTAAAATAATAATTTCATCGATTAATACTAAAACTTTAATAATTACTTATTTATATTCTCATTTTTAAAAATTTAAAAGATTTTTAAATAAGACTAATTTTTTTTCTTTAGACATTATATTAAAAATATTTCACTTTATACATATATAAATAATAATAAAATAATAATACAATAATATTTTATTAATATAAAATAGAATGATACAATATATTTTAAAATTGAAATTAAATTAAATATTTCTAATAAAATATATATAAATGTCTCAAAAAATTAGTTTTGATTAAAAAATAAAGATTGTTTCTTTAATTAATCTAATCTAATAGAATCAACTTTTGAAAAACTATGAATAATTTAAAAATAAATAGAATTAAAATTATATAATATGCAATTGATTGATTTCATAAATCAAATTCAATTAATAAATAGAAAAATAATATAAAAATATCAAAATTCAAACTTTTGCTATTCCTGTTATATTAACCATTCTATCGAAGAACATTAATTTTAAAAATTAACAAATCTTGTTAAAAAACTCAACTCAAACCATTGCATTAATAAAATTTTGATACCTATGTTATTAAGCATTTTATATAAAATATTTTACCAAATAATATCAAATAATCTATAAATTGTTACCTCCAAAAGATGGTTGAGTAAATGCAGGTGGAGTTGTAGTATTACCAAATAAGCCACCAGTAGTAGAGCTCGCAGGTTTTGAACTAAAGAGAGAAGTATTACTACTACCAAAGACTGGTGCAGCACCAGTGCCAAAACTTGTTGTAGTGATTGGTTTACCAAATGCCGACTGTCCAAATGGACTGGATTGTGTAGCTGTATTGAAACCACCTTTAATAATAAATTAATTATAATAATATGTAATTAATTTATATAAAAAAAATGGAAGAAGACAAAAAGTTATTATTTGTTTTACTTACTGAACGATGTACTTCCAGACTGCCCAAACATACTTAATATAATGATCCTGATTTTCTTTTAACAATTATTGACACCTGCAATAAATTACTAAGGAAAAATATTCGAAATAAATATTTCAAAATAATTTATAAAATTTATAAAAAAATTACATTTAAATAATTTACTAAAATTATTTTACGCATTTAAAGCAACATGTTGTATAATAATGTATAATATATATATATAATGATATATCAACTGTACATGTATAACATACGTATATTATATCTCATATATATTTTCTGAGATTTATTAAGTATGATCGAATCAAAGTAATATATGAAAATGCAAAATACTTACGCGTGATAATGTTACGGTTAATATTTTTTTTTTTTTTTTTTTTTTTTTTTAA